GCCATTTGTCTAGAAACAAGCCATCGGTCCTTTCTGTTCTCTCTACGTCATCATGCAGAATAAATAATGATTTTATGATCTTGGCTCCTAGGCCTTTAATTTTCCCACCTGGTTCACTGCAGTGAATTCCCTTGTTTTACCTGCAGTGTTCTTAAAATTACACTTAGGGATGATATACGTACGCTCTTCACAGAGACGACCCATCCAGCCATCCGGACACGAGCAGGCATTTGGTCGCTCACAGACACCACCATTCTGACACGGGAACCGACAGACAGCTGGAAATAATACAATTTCATGACAAACACAAGATGGTTAATTAGAAGGTTCGTAATTCAGCATCTTGCACAGACCTCTGCAGTTGTGAAGTCTGGAGTAGAACAACCAAGTGTCGTGAAGTTCAGACACATGACTTTTGTTTCAAGGGCTACACTGTCCTCTGGCTCTGTCTGACGAGGTACGTGAGCAAGAGCATGGGAACGATTCAGACAACCAAAAATTGTCCATGGCAAGAATGAAAATGTAAAGTCTTTAGCATAGTTGAGTAAAATATCTGGACAATGTTTCAAGGCTGATGAAATGTTTACCCGTGGAACCCAAAGTGTGATTATAAACCTCAGCATTCATGCTGACTAGTCCTCCTTGGCTCGCGCACGTGCTAATAAGCACCTGATCGTGAAAGTGAGGAATTTTGAAGTGGACTCTAACATGCTAGCCCAATGCGTTACCTGGACTGCAGAAGCATGGCCTTCATCATTTCTATGGCACTGCACCATATCTTGGCTAATACATCCTGGAAACCAGGACTACTGTGCAAAATGAGCACAAGCAAGCTAAGCACAAACAGACGTAAAAGATGACGGGAGGAAGTACAATCCTTGTCGTGTTGGTGTTCACACGATATACAGAAGATCAAAAATCGTGGCTTTGAGATGATACTACAGAACAAGCAAGTAATCAGACTAACTTTAATTAGTGGTAGTTATGATCACAGAGTAACCTCAGGAAAATCAGTCTGAACTGTTAATTGCATCCTATCTTTAATTAGTTAATAGGTGAGCAAAATGTGAGTTTAGGCTTTGAGTGTTTTCAATGTTCACATGAAATACAGGCAGTGGTTTAGCACACTGAAACACTGTTCAGACCTGAGCTCCACATTGGAAAGAATGCAAATCTTCCCCTGACAGCACCAAACTTGAGTCACTCTTGGAGCTAAAACATGCCAAGCTGCAAGCTACAGCTTGGAGTCTGCTGAAATGAGGCCAAAGCCATTTTATTTTTCAGTCTCAAGAGCTTTCCCATCAAATGCCAGCTGATAATGAGAATGAGAAGAGACCTTAGGCCCTGGCACTTTCACAGAATTTGCAATATTTTAACAGGTATTTTAAATAATTTTTGTTGTAAGCTTACAACATGTAAGACAGCTTGTCTCTGCGTGTTGACTAAAGCAGAATAGTGTGCCGAACAGATTTCCTTTGTGCAATGAAAAATTACCTAAGTTGAATCAAAAACCATTCAAAGCTTTGTGTGAGCCACACCACTTAAATGATATGCCGTGCATGTATAATGGATGGGAGGTGGAAGATTTTGTATAAATGATATCCCACGTTAAATTCAAAGCCCATGAAGAATGGTATCTGAAATGTACTTTCTCCCTCTGTTTCAAGGGAGAAGATGCGGATATTTTGAGAGTTACAGAAATTGCTTTGGATGGCAACTCCATCCCGCGTAGCGATCCAGGATCTCAGGCAGAGAGTCTTTTTCTGGATTTCTGCCCAGGCCCTGGTTGTGAAACCGAATGAGTAAGACAGTATCGTCCCTAGGTGTGCACTTGTTATACACCAATTCTGCAGGCAGAGACTCTCTGTCTGTAGCTGTGGGGATTATTCTTCGCTCGACAGACAAGACCAGAGAAAGTCTTGGGGCAGGAAGTTAAGCTGGGATGTCATTCTCTTTTTCTGCTATTGTAAAAGCAAGCAGGGCAAATGCAGTCCTGATGTGCTGGGGAGAGAATGGGAACCATTAACTGTGACTTCCGTTTGTGGCAGTAGATCTCACAAGCGTCAGTCTTAATCTCTGATATGATCCCCTTGTAAATACATGGACACAAAAGCTTTACACTGTGGCAAGACAAATGGTAAGAAAGGGAAAAAGTAATTTCCGATATCTGTTCTCAGCTTTGCCAGAAAGCCTTCCTGTGGTTGCACGTGAACAATTTCCTCCATGCCTCAGCTGCCCGGTTTGCTAACAGGGTACAAACTTTTGGGTCAGCAGGTCCATGCTGACCACTCCCAGTCAGCAAGATGTGGGCAGAGGGCAAACAGACAACACAGGATTTAGAGCATTTCAAGTGAGAAAAAGTGGCAGTTAGACAAGCTGTGTACATCTGCCCAGCCTGCCGAGTCCTGCGGGTGTTTACAATTGGCAGATGCAGGCTAATACTTCTCACTCCTGAAACTCAGATCAGAATCTGGCCTGCAGCCTCTAACCAGCAGTGATTCAGGAAAGTGCAGTTGTGGTGAGAGCTCTCCCAAAGCAGCTAACGAAGTCTGCTTTTTAATTATAATATCTACGTTAACTAACCTGTTCAACCGGGCCAGAACATTTCAGGCTGGCTTAGGACACATTAATTTTCAACTCACGGAGCCAAAAACACAAAATGCAGCATGAGTCATTACCAGGAGTGCTTTCATGTTGCTTCTGATGTAGACCACAAAGGCTTGGGTCCTGTAGGCCTTTTGTTAGGCAAATCTCCCAAATGAATTATAAAGCAGTTTTGAAAGATTATTTTGACATGTGTCATGAAAACACAGGTCGATCCTCTCAGAAACATCTTTGGTCCTTTTTAGTTTCTCTTTTATAAGGTGGGGGGGGGGGGGAATTGTTATGTCTCTCCCTTAATACACCAAAAGACAGGTTATTCTACTTTGCTTTCCTGCACTACACCCTGATCGTATGTCCACCTCACCACTTAATTTTTTAAAATAATTTTCCCTAATACTTATCCCTCTGAACAGACCCAGTGGACTCTGTGGTGTTGCAAACAGGGCACGTTTGGCAGTGCTTTGTTGATCAGCCCTTCCAGCTTGCTAGTAACCAGTGGCAAGAACCTCTCAGAGGAAAACTATAGCCCTCAGCATAAAATAGGATTCTGTGTAACTAATAAATATTAAATAAGAATAAAAAGTAAAGCTGGCAATATTAAAGGGGAGGTTGAAGAATCCGGCAATCTGAAAAGATAATATCCCAATAATTTCACTAATGAATCCTAGCTGAGGTAGAGTAGCTATTATGCAGACACCCTGAATTCTATAGCCACCACAGTTTAGAAAGAAATAGAGAGACACGTTTCAGAAAGGGTTGGGTGCTTTGGGAGCGTAAATTTTAACAGGACTTTTGGATAGCTCTTGGCATCTGAAGTCACTCAGGTGCTTTTACTGTAAATCTTCTCTACTTGGCTACTCAACAGGTGATTCTTCATGGCAGTGGTAGCCATAGTCACATAACCAGGAGAAACCCATCTGTCAGATGCAGCTTCTCTATTCCTGTAGTGTTCAGGAGTTGCATGCCCGCTTCTTTGGCTCTGGGTCTCCTCAAAATGATCTACTGATCCATGATCCTCAGGCAAGGCAATGATAACTATCAGGCACAGGAATTCTAACAGAGTGTCTGCTTTCACCGAGCGGGGCAACTCCCCTTGTCTAGCTCTTAACATTAATAATATTTTGCCATCAGAATTCATATAAAAGAACTACATGAGGGGACCCCAATTAGCCTTAGCACTGTACAGAATCCTCCGTCTCCAAAGGGTTTCTGACCTAGACAGGAGATCGCCAAGGAGGGAGGCAGCATTGTTGCTTCTGTTTTTGACATGGGGAGCTGAGACTTGCAGGAGAGAGGCTGACCTGACAACTTTGATGATGGCTCTCATGTTCCCAGCTGAGTATTTTGCTCCCTCCTCTTCTGTGGGAGTTCTTGAGCTTAGGTTGCTTCTGACTGGCCACTGATACCCCCTCAAGTTTTTTGCTTTTAATACCCACATTTTTAAACAAAATGCCTATGGCTCAGTCTGTAGTACGGCTATTATTACAACATCTGAGATAAAACTTCAGGGTGCAGCTAACTCAGTGCTCTACAGATACCTAGCAGCAGAAGGCTGGTCAAGCTTCCGATATGGAAATGGCAGGTGGAAAAGCCTCTTCCATCAAAAACCTGTGACCCTGGAACCCTTTTGCTACACCTCATCCTTGGTTTTAAGTTAGTGTTTAAGGATGCTTATATCTGGTTTTAACTAGTTTAGTTTATCAACTCTTCTATGTTTTGTCCTATTTTTGCCCATTTTCTGTTCAAAACTTATTAATTTGAATCTTCTCTGTAGAGGAGTTAATTCACTTGTTTAAATTACAAGGAAGTTAATTTTTTAGCTCGATGAACCAAAAAGTGACATTTGCCTACTGGCACGGCAAAGGTGGAATGGCTAGACTTCGTATTTGGTATTTTGTTAAAACCATGAATTTTCTGCAGTACTTATGCATTATTTAGTGAGCTGTATCAACCTATCCTTAAGTATTTTATTACAAAACACTTTTCAGGAGCTGCCAAGCTGTCATGACAGTCAGAAACTAAGCACCTGCTGGATCTCTTACTTTTGTTTTCTACAGTGCTTGACCTTTGACTGTGAAAAAATGACTGGCAGTGCTTATCTGAAACAGCTCAGCATGTCAGAAAGATGACAGGTTCTGTCACTTTCTCACAAAAGATGCGGGAAAAGAGGATGTTAGGTGTGGGATACAGCTTTGTAGCAAAAGACACTGTAAGACCAGCAAGGACTAAAGAGAAAAATTGTGGAAGCCCTCTCTTTGACTTGGAATTAAAGCAACACTCGTCACTTTAAACGTGTGAAACCATGGCTGCACTGAAACCAGCAAAATTGCAGCTAGGATGACACCTCCATGCTTATGGCAAGTTGAGATATGCTCCTGTTCATAAGAAAGACTTACCTTTGCAGGTAGGTGGTGTTGTCCATGTTCCATTTTCTACGCAAATGCTCCGCAGGGGCCCCTCCAGCATGTACCCACTGTAGCATGAATAGGTGACCATGTCTCCATACTGATAGAAGCTACCACGAATCAGAGCATTCTCAGTGTGAGCTGGGGGGCCGCAAGATATCTCTAAACAAAAGAAATCACCCAGAGGCTGGTGAGCTGCGATGTCTACACGACACAATTTCTAACCCTGGACACAGCACTTTGCACACAGGACGTGGGAGGTGCCAGAGAGACACCTCTGATGGGAAATGGGCAAGTAGGACTCCTTCATGGTGCAGACACTCACAGGGAGAACCTGTATGTACACCCAGTGAGCAGGGAGATGGCCAGGAGCAGCAGTTTCAGGTAACACAACAATGGCTATATCCACCATAAAGGCCAGGAACTTTCAGATGGTCCCAGCATGTGCGTGAGACTGAGTTTGTAGAGTTAGGTGATGTCATTGTCTGAACTAAACAATATTGCTTGCAAGAAGCCAAAAAACTTCCAGAGATGCTTGCAAAAGGTCACTATGACTTCTTTCAGTGTCCATAAATACAGTAAAAGGCAGCATCTCCCCCTACAATCAACCCTTGTCTCATCACCCATGATCTCACAGGAATCATTCTCAGCATATTTAGGGTATCCAACACCAATCTGAGCTCCACTGCTTGCAAAAGGTAAATTGAGAAGAAAATTACAGTAGGACCTAATTGAAAGTAGGACAAGTGCTCTTGGATTGTGAACCCACACAGACATATTCTGGAACATTTTAAAGAAGCAACGCTGTTAGAAAGAAAGAAGAAACAGCTCTTCTGTAGAGCTGCTTATGTTGCGTTTATGTGTCTTGATCTCTCAGAGTGACCCACCTCTCCACATGGCAGTAACAGACAAGAGCTCTCTTATTCCAGAACAACTGTATCCAGGCGGAGAGCCCTGCTGACACGCCTGCGCTGTCATGCTCCGGTGTGATAGAGCTGTGCTCACCAGCCCTACGGAAAGTACCAAGCCCCTGCAGCACTGCATCCCACGTACTTACTTTCACACTTAGCTGTTGCTGGAGTCCAGGTCTCATCAGCATTACAGGTGATCACAGACTGCCCTTTCAGCTGGTAGCCTTCCCTGCACCTGATGGTTACATTCTGACCAACATAAAAATCCACCTCGGACAGAACGGCATTCTCTGGGATTATGAAAGGCACAGGACAAGGGTTTGCTGTTCAAAGAAAGGGTGTGAGGGAAAAGGAGAAGGGAGGAAAATGGGATGGAAGGAAGGGAGAGAAAACTTCAGAATAGTTTCTCCAAATTTCAAAACCAAAACATCTGAAAAGTAACAGAAAGGGATGCTGCACACAAGTCCAATTTTTAATTTGATGTAAAGTTAGGAGATTTGGGTCATAAAATCATAATAAAAGGCTTGATTCTCTGCTGTCACACGGCTTGCTACCATAATTTACTGATGCCAGCAGAAGACACATTGAGGATTGAAGTGGGTAATATCCTACTTGTTACTATCAAACCACTCCTGTCCTTCCCATTTACCATAACCTTACAACAAAAATGAGCCAGACCTATCCTACTTCTGGTTCTGAGGGGCCAGACCAATAAAGAGCAGCAAAAATCCAGGTGTTTGAGCAGAGACTTGAAATAACATTCATTAGAGTTTAGAATTTCTCTGACAATCTTATTTATTGCTGGCGGTAAACTTGCTGAGCTACTTTTGCATGGTCTACAGATGTCATGATGAATGTGGAAAAGGTTGGACTCTATATTCCGCAGAGATTGATGCCAATTTCCTGCAACTAAAATCCTGGGAGTACTTTGTAATACAGAAATGAAATGCCTCAATTAATCACCCTAAGACTACGGTAGATCTTAAAATTAGTTACAAACACACAGAGCAACAAGGAAGGCTGTTGTGCGTGTGCATGCACAGCACACGTGTGTAAGGTGCTATTTCACAGAATCAGAGCATAATTTATACAGCCATGGAGTCCAACCTCTTCCTCAAAGCAGGGCCAACTAGGTCAGAGGTTGCTCTGGGACTTGACCAGCTGAAATTTGAGTATCTCCAAGGATGGAGATTTCATGTCCTCTCTAGGTCCCTGTTCCTGTGTTTGACAGCTACCATGGTGAAAAGTTTCTTCAAATACCTTATCAGAATTTCCTTTGTTGCAACTTGTGTCCATTGCCTCTCATCCTACCCCTGTGCACTCTGACAAGAGCATGGCTTTTTTCTCTACGCCCTCCCAGTAGTCAGTTGTAGACTGGAATATAGTCTCCCTTTTGCCTTCTCCAAACTCTTCTCTCACCTGCTCCTCATTTATCAAGTGGCTAACTACAACTGACTCTGGTTTATGTCAGCTTTCCAACTAAAGGGAGCTACGCAGAACACAGCTCGTTCTTTTACTGTCACAAAAATACACTCAAAACATGGTAATGCTTTCACATGACTAAGTAACTGCTCCCTTTGCTCCTCTGTCAAAACGGGATGGATGCACACCAACGAATCTCCCAGTGTAGGCCAAACCAATTTGTTAAACTACAAGTGACATATTCTGTTAAGGGCCACTCCAGAATAAAATTACAGTACATTTCCACAACGATCTGGGGAAGTTGTTCTTGTCTGCTGTCAGTTTAAATGAAGAGCGGCCTAGCTGTTAGTGCTTACAAACTGGGACCATTTTTTCGTTACAGAGCAAATACACACGTTTACAGAGCGGCAAGGCACTACTCCATCTTCCATCTCTTGTGCATTCTGCCACAGGTTCCCCTTCCAAGCTGTATCCCCTCTCGCAGACGTATGCTATTGTACTGCCAACTGTACTGTTTTCATAAATCACCTTCCCATTCAGCAAGGGAACTGGAACTCTGCATCTGGTCTCTGCAAAGGAAGAGCTCTCATTAATTCAGCTTGATATCAGACCTGGACTTTGAACACTTCCTGAATTACTCACAAAGTATGTTTAAAGTAGCAGCCATAGACTAATAAATCACCACTGAGAGAGAGTTCAGTAGCCCTGGGAAGGAAATGTAGCCAAGTTAGGGAAGGAGCTCCTCCCAGTGATGGAGAAAAGCCACAGCACATGTTTTTCAGGTCAGCAAAATATGTCAGTGCTGGGGAGGAGAGGACACATTTATGACTTCACACAGGGGTCAGTGGGGCAGAACATGGAAATGGTTCTTTCTTGCCACTGAGAGATACCCCGGAAACTCACAGCCCTTTGTGCCTTCCTTTCACCTGACAAGGAATACCAGATGAGATGCAGGATGGGTTTGGTGCAAGATGCAGATATTTATATTACTAATTGCTCCCCTCAAGATTCTCAGCCATGTTGCTGGAAGCCAGCAGGCAGACAGTCCAAGGGAGGTTACCACTGCATCACAAGAGATTCTGTTCTGCCTTCTATTTTCCGTTTGATTTTCCTAGGTGGTCTGTGTAACGGGGTGACTAAAGATTAAACTGTCGGACAGACACAAGGCTGTCAGGCAAGAGGAACAGAGGAGTTGAAGTGGCTGTGCTCAACCTTGTTCAACATACCCTTCTTGACATCTGTTCAGCACTCTGTGACTTTTCTTAGGTTGCCTGGCTAGGTATTAGACACCTCCTCTCTGATGTGGTGTTCTCTGTCAGCTTTCCAGCTTGCTACCATAACGTCTGCAGAGCATTAGGGCACCGTAGTGCGCAGTGATCTGTGCACTGTGTGGTTGCCCAACACTGAATATGGTGGTCCTTAGCCCTCATGCAGGAACCTAACATCTGCCTTGAGTGCAAGATCATTATCTGTCTCACTCTGGTGAACCTGTCACAGCAAGCTGGTTGCCCCTGAATCTGTGTGTGCAGCTGGGTGTGGAGACATCAACATCTCGGCTCCATCTAAGAATGCCAGGAGCAACTATGGAAAGCAAGAAGGAGGCTGGGTCATGTCGGGAGACATGAGGAATATGCAGCAGGGACAAGTACAGACTGAAAGGAAGTGTGATGGGGAAGAAATGAGCTAGTCTTTATGAAAGGAAAGGAAAAGAGTGAAACTCAGACTTTGTATTGTCATGGCAAAGGAATGGAAAGCACTCGTACTCAAAAGTTCATGATACTGCAGTTTAGTAAACTTAGGCGTGCTTTACGTTTTGAATAGTCATCCACAATACTGGCTATCTGTTCAAACGTGGGACTGTAGGTTTTTGTTCTGTTTTTCTGTTGGCAGCCTTGTTTCCACCCACCCCATGTGACACAGACCCTTCTTGCTGGGCATTCATTCTGCTTTGAGGCATGAGCAAAGGGACCTGAGGGAGCACCTGAAAGCAGTGATTTGCAAAACGGTACACATCCTGCGTTCATGGTGTTTGTTCATGTGAGGAGAGTGGAGGTTAAAGGCTGAGCTGTTTAGGCTGTCCTTGGGGCCCAAAGTTCAGAAAAAGAGTATCAACTTAATGATTGACTACATGTAGTGTTTTAATCCCAGCCAGCAACCAAGCACCACGCAGCCACTTGCTCACTTCCCCCCTCTCCCAGTGGAGGAAGAGAATCAGTGGAAAAGACAAGGAAGCTCGTGAGACAAGGAAGCTGAGAGAAGAGCAATCTAATCATTGAAAGTAAATGAAATACAATAATGACAGCAGTAAGACCATCAGTACTGTGTAATGAAAGTAACGGAAAAGAAAACAAATGGTACAGCTGCTGATCACCCACCAACTGACCAAGAGAGAGAGCGGGGGAGGGAGAGAGAGCCCACCCCTCACCCAATCCCCAACCCATACACTGAGCGTGATGTTTCATGGAGTGAAATACCCCGTGGCCAGTCCGGGCCAGCCGTCCTGACCATGTCCCCACCCAGCTGCTTGTAGGGAAGAATCTGGGAACACAGGGACAGCACCAGAAACCGGAAAGTGCTGGACTTGGTACAAACACTCCTCAGCAACAACTGAGAACACCACTGTTACCAGTACTCTTCTCCACACATATCCAAAGCACAGCCTCATACTAGCTACTGTAAAGAAAATCAACTCTGCCCCAACTGAAACCAGCACACTACAGAATGCCACTGAGAGAAAAGTCACTTGTCCTTGCAGTCCACCACTTTTTGCAGGGGTTTGATTTTCTGAGATAGCAAATAACCTCATGTCTCATTAAACTGTTAAACTGCAGATTAAAACCTTAGGAAAAAAGCTCTTTCTGGCTTGGAAACAGGCAGTGCTCCTTGTGACATATTTCATTTTTCACATTACAGAACCATTTCCCAAAAGCAGTTCAATCCCTGGGTCCTATGATATGCCTGTGTAAGGCAGGAGGTATTGCCTATCCCAGACTGGAATGTGCCAGGCCATGAAACCAGTTACCTTCACATGACGGCAAGGGTTTACTCCAGCTCCCGTTGGCAAGACACATGATATTCTGTGGCCCAACAAGATGGTATCCAGAGCTGCACACAAAGGTCACATTACTTCTGTAAGTGCTTCCCGTAGAAATGGCCTCTGCTTTTTCTACTGATGGATGCAGCCCACAAGTGATTCCTAGGAGAGGAGAAAACGTTTTGTTTTTTTACAGACAATGAAGGCCATTCTATCTGTTACACACTGACAGCCGTGTTCACACGCTGAATTAAGGAAAGATGGGAAGAAAGAAGCTGTGAAGTACTACATGGAGAAGGGTTATACAATGCCTTGCCTGCCCTCTCTCCCGGGGTTCAGGCTGCATACCCCCGAGAGAGAATGTGCCCAAATGTGTCTGATGGTGTTGTAAGCTATGAGATGTGTTCAACCAGAGTGATCCAGAACATTTCTTCTGAGCAGGCCAGAGGCTGCATTTGCAGTCTCCTTTGCTCCCTATGCAGTGGAAGGTGATCTCAAGATGTGCCCCAAAATATGACAGCAGTTAAGAAGGATCTTACCCCCTGTCCCACACTTACTGTGGAGCCTAGGCAAATTGGTCAAAAGTGAGAGACGAGTGCACGGGATAGGACTACGACATGACCGTGAGAATACAGGAAATGACTTATTGGTAAAGAATGTAAAATCTTGGCATTTTATTTATAAGCTGTATGGAGTAAGTAATAAATTCTTCTTTCCATGCTCTCACAATTAATCGCCTTCTGCTGCACAGAGAGCCAAGGTAAGAACCTAGGGAGCAGAGTCTTGATCTCCAGACAAAGAGTGGTCAGGATGTATTAGCCTTGGCACGGCAGAGACGAACCATCCCAGTACATGACGTCCAAGACCCTGCACACCACAATGCAAGGCAAATCAAACACAGCAGGCCACGCTCCTCCCCTGCTGACATGAGGATGACTCTATCCTTGTACCATTTTAATGTGCCAAAAGGAGCTCCCTTCAGATCAGAGAGGAACTGCCAGTGGGAACTTCTCTGATGGCTTTGCCTCTGGCTCCTCCTGTTATAGCCCTCCACTGGAGGGGAAGACTGGGAGGAAGCCAGCAAAAGCACTCATTTTGTTCCACAGCTCTCCTGGAAAACTGCCACCATCTTGCTCTGCTTGCTACTTACGTGTGCATGAAGGGGCGGTGGGAGTCCACTTTTTGTCAACGTGGCAGATCCTTCGGCTTGGTCCATGTAGCTCAAAGCCAGGGTCACAGCTGTAAAAGACCTCACTGCCGAACAGGAACTCCTCTCCCTGAACAGATCCATATTCTATCATGTCTGGGGGTCCACATGATACTCCTATAATACAAGAAATGTTGCAATCAAACATAATGCATCTGTCCTGTCCTATTCACAGCTCCTCCACAATTTTTCTCTGAGAAACAGGGAGAGAACACAGTGTTGACCTGGGCATTCTCAGATATCTGCCCCTGAGTAGGAGAACAGTACCACGCTTGGTGCTTCCAGTTCCTGTTAAAACCCCAAATCTGTAGCAGCTGTTCTGGCAGGGAACCTCAGGAAACTCCACTGTTGCCACTTACAGCCAACAGCTGAATTCCATGTATTTGTGTAGACAACTCTTATTTTGGAACTGCAGGCAGTGGGCATCACACATCTCACAGAACTGAATTACCTTTGAGACCAAGTATCCACAGAGTTACATTTGGGGATGCTAAGTACCTGTGACTCTGGGCAACGAACATCCTCAGAGGTCCTCAGCGACCTCAGAAATCATGACCTCAGGTGTCAGAACTACTTACAAGTTGGAAGCTGTCTGCACAGCTTTCTTAGGGATAAAGAAGCAAAGTGAAAGGTGTAGTGATTTCCTTCCCACTATTACCTGCACACACCAGCAATTCTGCAACTCTTCCAGGCTGTTATCAGTGATACTAACTAGCATTTTTCAGCAAATGCAGACAGTCTGAGTTATAAAGCAAAATAACCATTAGTGTTTTCTGTTGTGTACTATCACATCTGACCACCATTAAGTGATAAGCTCAGGGGGTACGTACTTCTGCACACTGGCACTGTGCCACTCCAAAGCTTGTCTTCTTGGCAAGTCCGTTCTGCATCACCCTGTAAGATGAAAGAAAATGCTCAAGACTCAACTTTATTTAGTCAATTCTCTTCTCCCATCAGCTCTAGTATCCAGCAAGGCCAGGACATTCTCCCTCCATGTGCAACCCATGTAGAGATAGTGAAATGCTACAGCCCAACTCTACTAGCAGAGCTTAGGGTAGAACTCCTTCCTGCAAAGTGATGGTTATTTTTTATTAGCCAGACGTTTGCGGGGCCAGTAGTCACTTTTCTTGTCCTTCTCCCTGGACTATCAACTTTCTTTTTAGTTTTAACATTCTTGTTCCCAGGAATGGTTATGATGACAAATTTTCTCCTTCCAGGACTCACTCACAGAAAATCTAACTAATGTTTTTTCAACAATAGTACAAGCTTGTGTTATATAAATGTAATGTACTGATTTTGACCACATCCCAAACATTAATTCTTAAAATCTGTTTATAAATAATGTTATTTCTTTCTTATCTACAGGTTTTATAGTCACTCTACCAGCCCAGAATTTATTTCTTATTTTATTCCAAGACATGGAGAACAACATCTACCTTTCTGCCTTGAAGTAATGTACTTTCATTACGAAGCAAACCCATTAACAAGGGCAGCTGTTTGACATGAGTGTTGTATGGTATACCACTCAAAGGACTTTGTTTCCCAAAGGAAAAAAAGCAGTTCTGTTCAAAAGCAGGGAGACAGATTGACGCTAGGTGGCGAAGATGGAATACAAAGCTTGGAAGGACTTTTTACTGTATGAAAGTACTGGCTTATTACCTCTAAACTTGAAACAGCAATTCTGCTGATCTATCTAAATATCAACCCACCCCTCCATCCCCAGTGACATTACACATATGGCAAATTCATTGTTACCTTGGCACTGTCTAAATTCTCCATACTTTTATACTGAGTGACCGAATGTATTAACTCCTGACTGGACAAAGTCATATGCACGAAGTCTGTCATTTATTATTGGTGCTACAACAGTGCAAAGAAAGCACAATCCTGCATTGTGCTGGGTACTCACAGAACACTGCGTAAAGAGCCAGCCTCTGTCCTGGAGAGGCTCATGCCCTGCTCCGTCACCTGGGGATGGTGGAGGCCTTGCTGTGCCTCAGCAACGTACTTTCATTTCGGAATTCACTGCAGCTTTTGAAAACACACCTGAGGCAGCTCTGAATTGGCTAGACTCAGTCCTGATAATGGGACAGTGGTGCTGCTCTAGAGCTCAGGTGGGGATAAGAGCCCAGTGCTCATAATCAAAGCAACAGACAGGGAAGAACTCTGTTCCCTTCTGCATCAGCCAATAAAGCTGCCATTGAACACACTGGAATCTCTTTGCTAAAACAAGAGATAGCACTTTCATACCATCTAGCAGTATCACACAAGTGAGGGCAGTGGAGTTTATCAGGAGGTCTTCATCTGGAAGGTGCGACGCAGCAGACATAATGCTTGGGGACATTATGAAATCGAAGGAAGAGTATGATCTCACTCTGACCACAGACCCAGTTCAGGAGAGCAGCACGTGAGAAATGAACTCTTCTGGGCTGAACAACCCTCAGTTTAAACAAACCCAACACTGAAAGGTATCTGCTGAACATGTATCTCTGAACAGGATGCTCCTATTTGCTTCAATTACATCCTTAAGTCATTGAAGGACCATTCCAAACATATCAGGAGCATTCTACAGACAAAACCACCAACAAAGCAGACAGCCAACTTCTGTGGCAGTGAAGGGAATAGATCGATATGGACCAGATCGAATACATTCTCACAGCCATCCTATAAGAGCTGAAAATGACAACTAAAGGCTTAAGAATGCTGGAGATCTGAGCTTGCTTACTTGTAATTCATAGCCAGAATCACATTTATAAAGAACCACGTCTTTGTAACTGTATTTAGAGCCAACCACAAATCCATACTCTGGAGACTCTGGGGTCCCACAGGACACAGGAATGCAGATGTCATCAGAAAACGGTGGCACCCAAATGCCAGTCTCCTGAAAAATAAATGTAATTAAAAAGTGTGAAGGCATCACTTTATATGTTTAATTCATATCTAAATGAAGAAGTCAGGAAAATCATAGTAGAAGCATCCAGTGGCTGTCGGTGTACAGATGTGCTTAACGTAATATTATCTGTGCAATCTTTAATAAAACTTTAGTAACACTTCCAAGATGTCAACACAGACTGGAGCTCCGCTTTGGCAAGAATGTTCAGCTTAGACTTAAAAGAACAAAAAGCAAATGAGGAAATAGAAACTTGGAGAAGCAAGTTTACTTGTACAAGGTCACCTAGAAACTCAGGGAACACACCAGAAGACAGAAAACTGCAGCTGCCTGATGCCATGTTCTGTACTTCTCTCCTGGCTGAATGTCTAACACCATGACTGAGTGCTTCAGCTGCTGTCCCAGAGTCTCTAAGGGAAGTCTGATACCTGAAGAGGCACATCAAACACACCACTCCCAACTTCCACAGGTCTTTGAAACGGCAAAATAAGGGGAAAACCTGTCCTTATGAAGTGCTGATTCTGCAAAAACATGCATGCTCAGCTTTTCTCATATAAGCAGACTTAGTGACTTCAAAGATTCTATTTACACACTTAAGTCAACGTTGTCCACAGCTAATCCAGCAAAACGTTACTAGCGGAACTGATGAGGAAGTTTGCTTTTCAACAGAGGATTCAAGTTTCTACAGCTGTACAGTGGATTAAAATGTGTGCTGCCTGTTATTCTGGGGAAAAAAAAGCTCTGCACACAATCCTCAAAATACATTCGAAATCTTGGACATAATTTTTTAAAATCTTGGGCATGATTTATTCCCTGAAATGTGATAAAAGGAATGCTTTTCTAAAGGACAGCCCTTGTTTTCGATGGAAGAAGAAACCAGTAATTTCTAGTTCTGAAAGTCTATATATGGAAAACTAATAATCGCTCTTACTGGGCAAGATGCAAGCATGTAATATTTTGCAGGACATGCTTTAAATTTTTTTGTTGTGTGCAATTAAGGGCCAAAAGCTAACAAAGGCATAAGGAGGACTCTTAAATTAAACAAAGTCAGCAAAATAAAACAGTGGAAATAACACTATACCTCGCACGTAGATGTGCTTGCTCCCACCAGAGTATAGCCTTCTACACATGACAAAGTGATGTTTGTGTTCACAGTGAAGTTGTCCCCAAGCACGATTACATGGGTGATGTTTCCTGGGAGGGGACACTTTCTGGGGCAACAGGAAATACTTTGAGGAGACCACTGTCCATCTTCCTGGCAAATGCATGCATCCACCTCTGTCGCCATTGTGTAGCCTTCCAGGCATCTGCAACACAGCATGAAGACCTGACCACAGAGGCACAGCTAGGGATGAGCCAGCCCATTAAGTTACAGACAGTCATTTTTCAGCATTAGTTGTTCTATTATTTCAAGGCAACCATGTAAGAAGCATGCCTGGACTGAGTTTATTCTGTTGCAAGAGCTGGAAGTTTCAGACTTCAGCTGTGTCATACTGCTGCAGCAGCACAATGGAAAGGGAGTTGGTGGCTTTATTGCTTGGAGGGTACTGAACGCTTCAGTGCGGCTGCTGCACTGCCCTCCCCTTTGCAAGGAGGGTTTTTGGTTAGGTAAACAGTGTGTGACCATCAAGCCATTCTGAAGATGATCTCACTTTCTACCAAGAACAAACCAGGACTCAGGCTGACCACAGGCCATTTGCTTAGGCATTTAAGGCTGATTTGTTCTGTTCCACACGGTGCTTCACCAAGAGCACTGTTGTGCTGGACAACTGGACTGCACAAGTGGGTTCACCTACAGAAAGGCAGACGAGAGCATCCCCTTCACTTTATTAAAGATGCATGGAAATGACTGATACTGTTAAATTAATCCACATGCCATCTCCCAGTTCTGTCCCATACTGTTATTTGCTTTTACTGACAAAAACCCCATCCCCCCTTCTGCCAATGAATACCTCACCTTGCAGAAAGAGATCCAGAGCGTACACACTTTGGGAAATTAACAAAAAACCCTTTCTCTGATATCTGACAATGGAGGAACTTTGCATCAGCAACACTTGCTGACAGTGCAGAAAGTGGGACGAAAAGGAGATCAGATCTTCTGTATTACAACAGACACCTGAAGCAGGAGAAAGATGTAAATGGGGCCACAAAAGAGGAGAAAAACTGCACACCCTGGTGACTGTTACTGCCACCTGCTAAGAAAACCTTAATTTCCAGACCAGTGTTTCAGAGAAGAATGTACAGGGGAAACTAAACGTGTTGGAGGGAGAAGTGCAGGCCAAGAGGATGAAATACCTTGCAGTAGTCCAAGTAGTATTTTATATGTGCATGTGTGCTGGATTCAGCCTGGAAAGAGTTAACTCCCTTT